AAGCTATAAGACAACGGTAAATTTGGAGCTTCCTTTTCCTTTCCCTGCTTTCTCATACGTAGATCACCAGTAGCAGAACCATGGCTGCTGGTCATAAAGTTGCGAGGAGGAATATGAGCGTATCACTTCCTACAATAAAGACTCCGCCATGACGTGACTTTATCCATCCTTGGTGTCAATCTGATTAAGTGTGCTGGAGCTGCTCGTCGTGTCTTCTTTTTTGTAGGAAAATCTTCTTCGTCGTGCTTTTGGTCCAAATAGCAAATGCAACCATATGTTTTAACAATGGCTCAGGGTGTAGACTACAGACTGTGGCTGCGTATAATACGTTATAAATTTAATGCTTATCTGATTCAAGTCTTATTGTGCGAAAGGAAGAAAGCGACTGGTTTCTAGAGGGCGGCTTCCTACAAAGAATACAAAACATACAAGAACCGTGTGTGGAACGACTAATGATAAAACTAATGAACAAGTTGGTATCATGTTATATATTACGTTACAGTTTAGCTGACGCTGACAGGGGTTATGATTTAGGTTGTCTTACTGGTCAGGGCAATCGGGTTATGTATTACTTAAGCTGAGAAATGCTAGACTATTCTTATTCGTAGTATGTATCTATGACTGGGCTTGTATATCTATTTATAAATATTATGTCGAGTTGCCCAATAACTGTGCCGATATCCAAAAAATTATAAAATAAGCATCTATATTATATGGTAAAGTTGATACATTAGTGTCATCCTCTTTTAAGTTGCGGTTGTTGGTAAATTCTGAACACTTTATATCACTCGCATAAACGTGAAGATTAGAGTGAGAGCCAAAGCAAACAGCCAGACGGTCATTTTTATGAGAAGACAATAAAAGCAATCAGAAAAGGACGAGTAAAGCAGAGGATATTCCTGTCTCAGCATTTTATTCCCCTTGAGCGTCCCCTCTTTTACGGGAAGAGGAAGTGGAGGAAGAAATGTCGAATATGTTTTCCTTCCAAGTTTTTTTGCTCTGCTAGAACAATTTGTTCAGTTGATTTCTAGCCAAACTTCAAATTGAAACATACTGTCATTTTTGCGAAAAGTTGGAATTTTCTTTTGACTTTTTGGACAAATATTGACCACTTGACAAGTCGCTCCTCTTTATGTCGGTATATCACAACATGATGTTGATGTTAATATTATATGGAATGGTCAGTCTTTGTCCACGTGGTGCATGTACACCAATGTTGTCCTTCAAATATTTATCAAAATGTATAGAACAACCAAAGGAATCCCTGATGAATATCAAACTCGGAAATTTCCAACAGCCGTATTTGTACTTGAGTCCCCCTGGCTTGATATCGACTGCATCAAAATAAAATTCCATCTCGCGTAGTAAGGAATTGATAATGAAGGTCGACACATTAAAAAGAAAATTGGTCACTTTCAGTATTTCAGGAAACTTTACTTTGTTATACGTGAGGACAGTAGAAAACTGGAGCTGTGTTTGCTTGCACGACTTGTGGAATATCATTTCATTATGACCTCTTTTTTCGTACTTGAGCACGTAAACAGTTGAGAATAGATTCAACATAGAGCGTCGCATCCTCTGTTTTCAGTCCATCATGATCACTATGTAGTGTTTGAACAGATTCCTTGGAATATTTCCGATAGCACTGCAGTCTTCTCTCGAACTGAGAATGGAATCGCATTCCAAATCGACAATTCTCCGCCCAATTCTTGTCCTTGTAAAATAAATGTAGCCCTTGGATCACCCACTTTGCAATGAAAAAGTAGTAAAGGAGTTCGAGGCTATATACAGTTTCTGAATAGAAAGTAGTCGATCAAGAAGCTTAGCCATGAGAGTGTTTTCTCAAGCAGGGTACATATTTAGATACATTTTTGCCACTCTTGATTTCGAAATGAAGAGTACAAATGATAGCAAGACCTTTTGAACGTGCATACTTTCCTAACTTTGGATATTCTATAAGGGAAAGTTATTTTGTTGAAGCTTGAACATCTCCATAAGTCATAATTATCAAGGAAGATGACAAATTACTAAATCTGTATCGGTCTATTAATTGCTTAGCCTTCTCAAAGATTTACATTTCTCTTTTACCTTTATAAAGATATGGTCTCACATCTTTCTGCTGTGACAATTACGACCATTGCATTTGGATGTACTGACTTTCACGAACAAACTACACATTACCAAAAACTATGTATTTTTTCTACGTGTTTTCAAATTGTATTTAACCTTAACGTCATTGTGAGTCTCATTGTCATAACGGGGGACCAGTTTTTGTCATAAAAAATGTACACCAAAACGGAAAATAAGGTAAATAAGCCATAATGCATCATGTGTAAAGCTTAAGCCATCTCATACCTGGAATATGGCCAATTTTAGGTTGAAAGAGGCCTTAATAATTGTATGATTTGTGTGCTGTAACAGTGAGATAGAGCTCTGCCAAAAAATATATCTTACAGGTAAATTCATTTTCTTTCTTTTTTACATTAACAAAATGCAGATGTGTTCATTCATGTGACATCTCAACGCTCTGTATTTACCAACAGCAACCGGAGGGACGCCATGTTTTCGGCCTAAAATTTACTGACCGTGAGTATAATCATACGCAGAAGGGGAAAATCGTTCGTTTCATAAAAAATATTAGAAATCTGATCACGTATCATTTGTCGGACTTTCTTTCTTTGAGGTTGGTAATCAACCACGGGGTTAGTTGCAACAATAACCACTTTTTTCGAGCCCAAGCCTGTCTTCAATTGTTGAAATGGTTCTCGTATGCGTATAACAACGTGCTCATCTGAACGGGTTGAACAGAAATGAAGTGTGTAATATATGACTTTATCAGTTACGGCGTACGACCAACACACCCCAGCTTCTAAAAATTCTTATGCTCATCTCATCTTCTTCCTGGTGTTCTTTTTCAGCTCGAGTGATTTTCAACGGGACTTTTGCCGGATGCTGGACCAGTAGTGCCAGCTACGAGACTCGACAGCAATAACATGGGTCGAGATTGACAGACAGCACCAATATGTACAAAATATACCATAACCACTGCTTTCTTTTAAGCACGGATGAATTGTTGTTCACATTGATCTGAGAGACCTCCGCTTCATCCAACTAAACTGCACAAAGTTTCTTTTTGAACAAAAAGGAAAGGACTCTCACAGACTCAGTGAACTGGGAACAGACAGTAAGGAATTGAATTTTCTGAAGGATGAGGAGGCGAATGACTGAATAGCACAGGCAGTGGGAGAAATTTATATCTAGAGGTGTAATAGCCCAACATTCCACTCACGTTGCAGAACCCACAGAAAGATTTTGATATCGGAGAATCTATCTTCAAATTACAGAATCGTAAATTCTCCAAGGGACGAATTCTTCTGATGTGTCCGGTCTATGGTGACTAAATATACTCGTACTTATCTCGTATGTATATACTATACATATAATATGTATACTTGAGGTGTATAACATGTTACATGTTGTTAAGATTAGTAGGTTTTAGTTTGTTAAAATTTAACAATGGATTTGTAAACGAATCAAATAAGATAAGCAAACTATAATGTAGTTATTAAATTTTAGGTAATATTTAATAATTAATGTTACCAATGCGCTTATGTTTGAAATTTCAAATTTCATTAGTGTTGTATGCAATTTTGAGGCATTTTTTGGAAGTTTGGAAGGTAAACCAAGTAAATTTTCCTTCAGGGAAATTATGTAACTTCTCAAAATGCACAATAAAACATTCTAAATCAACGTTATCAAAGTGCAAATGTCAAACGAAAATAAAATATTTAGAGTTGGTTTAAACAGCACTACTAGCTTGCGTTGTGACCGACGGTAGCTTTTTCCCAGAAGCGAAATAGTCACCCTCTTTCATGTTCAAATTGTGCATGTTTCTTCAAGTTTCGTTAACCAATTTGGTGTTGGTCGTCACAACCAGTAAGATCTTATTCCTACCTAAAACTTTCTTCACAATGTAAAGTATGATCTGGTATATGTACTTATTTTGTTAATGTGCGTGAGAGAGAAGGTTAATTTTTTCTATCCAACCAAAAATTGTGGTGTACCTAGATAATTAAAAAATATGCTGCATTTGCAAGTAGATCGTCACAGAAGATCCAAACATTCCTCGGCAATAATGTTGCCGGAAATTATAATACGTTATATCTTAATACATGTCAAAACATACTAACAAAATGCGGTTCTTCCTTCACCAAGTTGATTGAAGGGTTAAAGCAGCTGGCCAAACTCACGAGTTTATTTTTGTTGGTTCAAAGATGTTTTTGTTTGAGATGCTGAGGCTAAGCCTTTACTTAAACACCGAGTTTGAAGTTTCTTACAATGTTGATGTTAGTTATTCACATGGGCCTGCAGTGCTCTTTGATCTCAAATTACCTCCTAACTCGGAGAAACTAAAGGAGAGACTACTGGCCTTGCTTGGCAATGCCAATAATTTGAAAATAAACAAGGTGATGAAAGAGAAGGACGCTAACTTAATTTGATTTTTTGCGTAATCCAACCAGTTACCCGAGTTCCGTCTGAATCGTTGCGGATAATAAAAATGGGCGTGGCGCCTGCCACAGAACAAAGCTTCTTGAATGAGATCTCCCCTTCTCCGTTCGTCACTTTCTCTCACATCAAAACTCCGGCACTACTATGTCCTTAGTATATTTTATTATCATGCTGGTAATCAACTTGGATCATTTCCTTTTGATTGCGACAAGAGACTTTGCAGAGGCGGGGATAGTATAAAAGCAAGGACATTGCTTTCCTCGTTCGATTTTTTTTGCCCGGCGAATGTCCACTTCTTGGCTTGCCGACAGTTTTAAGATCGATTATGTCTTTGGAGATCGAATCTACTGGCATAGCCAAATCATCAAGTTTTCCAGTGCTGGCACACAACCGCCGGACTTACCAGCTTTGACTGACAGGTGGACATTTTATCGTCGGATAGTATCAAAATGAAAAATCAAGTTAGACTAAAAAAAGAAAGCGAATTTTAAGATTCAGCACTTTTCGGATCGGAATAAATCTTTTATTTTTAGCTGAATAAAGGTAGATTAAGGCTGATTTTGACAGAGCGGTCGACTGTATAGAAATCCACAAGACTGATCTTCCCACCTTCCAGTGACTCCATTAACGAGGAGACAGTTTTGTGCAACGCCTCCATCTGGCTGACCCTGTAACCATTTTGCGCCACCCCGAGGAACTGGTTTCCCACTGGCAAGCCACCGAAAATGTCCTTCTTTCATTAGGTCGGTTGCAGCTACCCAAAGGTGCTGCTTGTCTATGTGATAAATAAATCAGAACAAATAGATGCTGCTCGTAAAATTCGCAGAAATTTGAGTAGGCTGAAGAATCTTACAAGAGCACTGTTGGAGGTACTTTGATATCACCTCAAATTCGTCATTATTGCTCAAAACGGCCAAACTCATTCCCAAGCTGTGGCAGTATTCAAGAGATTCAAACCAGTTCATCTAACACACCAGTAATCCAATTAAGTTAGTTATTAGCTAATTGAAGTAATTTCTTAACGTTTGGTAGCACAACAAGTTGACCTCTTTATTTCCCATGTAGAAACTCTTCATTCCAAAGGAACCAGCAACTTGAATGCAGGGACTGGAAGGGGCTGCATTTCCATAACCTACATACATTCATACATAAAACAGCAGCAAAAATAGTAGTTCAGTTCTACAGATATACAAGTAGTGTAACCAATTTCAGGCGTCAATTATTTCGTACGGACGAGAAACCCAACTGATTTGGTTCATGCATATGTACGAGTAAGTACTTGTGTGTGTACGTATATTTGTGTGTGATGTGTGGATGAAGGAAAAACATACCAAGTAGAAGAAGGGTAATTAGAAATGAGACGGTGACATGAACAACGATGCGTTCAATCATGCTGGAAACCTTGTTCCAGTTTCAACAGTCCAAAATTAATTGCACTATTAACGCTTTATAAATGAAGTGTTTACTCCGGAGAAACTGTGCAAGGCGGCCTCCACCGTCGTGTCAGCTTAAAGGATTCATCGGTTCACTCAGAAAGTCAGTCTGCAATCTGCAGATGTCAAATAAAGTTACCACAGCACATTCAAAGACGAAATTACAGAAGAAACTAAACCATTCCTCTACAGTTTTGTACAACTTTTCGCCCAATTAGATCTCCAATTTGTCAGGTCTGGCCTAGACAGCAGAATATACGTATACCATTAAGGCGTACAGAACATGGGAAGAGTCAAAGGATGTGGGAAGAGTCCTACGCCACAGTAAAACGAGCTCAAATCAACCGACCGAGAACCAGCTCGGTAAGTTGGTTTACTTTCCAGGCTATAATTAGTTTTCAAAACTAACCTAAACAAACCGAATTTATCTTCATGAGCATGTGGTAAACAGAAGCAATCAATCAACTGGTCCTTTGAGTAAAACGGTCATCTTCTCCGCCGCTTTTACTACGTATCATCTACCACTCCACTCTCTAAATGAGTCTGTAAACCAGTCAGCTCAATCTTTAAAAATGCGATGGCTTTTATTCCCCATTTTTTTAGAGGACGAGAGACCTTCATTCATGGCAGAGACATTTATAATGTCCAAATAATGTGTGGAACTTGCACAGTTTGTTTCACAGATGAACTTGACTTATGCAACCTATAACCCCCAAAGTTTGTTTGTTATTTGGTTAATGTGCATCAAAATCATCATAAGTAAATCCTCCCACCAGTGACATTGCAGGGACATGTACAAGATTGCCTTTCCTCAGTACTCCAAATTAAATTTATGTCAGCTCTGGTCGTCCTCCTCCCTCTGCAGCAAAGTGTGCTTGCTTCAGGAAAGAGAAAGTTATCGTACTTACCGATGCTTACGGGGAAATACTTTGACGCAAACTTTAGCATAACTTTAACTTAATCACAGGAACGAACTTTGACTTTGCTGAGATAACAATTCGAGTTTCATTATTTTTTGTGGTTACATCTACTAAAAGTTTCAAATTCCACTCCCATTTCCATTCCCCTCTACGAAAAGGAGAGAAAGTGGATGGCAAGTAAACTGTGTATCTCGAACAAGGAAAAGTCTCTGTGTAGTGAGGGCGAGTCCCGCAAACCTTTTGTCTTCCTTTATTACGGCTCTACAAAGAAATTCATGCTGATCATTATTCTCTAAACTTTTACTTTTATTAGTAAAGAGCAAAGTAAATAAAGCATAAAGCATAAGGAGCTTTCCGACGGCGGGGGGACGGTTAAGACTTTTGGGTTGGCTAAGCCGATTACAGCGATTAACCAGAAACCTCAGGGAACCCTTCTCGAGGATTTATTTTATGATGCAGCGCAACGATTAATTCATTTATCATTGATTTTAAAACGTATGTCATAAGAGAAAGTTGCGCAATCACCAAGGTTCTAGAACATTATCTTATCTTATATATGTACCTATTTCACATTTGTACATCAGTAAGTATGTAGGTACATATGTAGGTACGACAAAGACTTTGAGTTGGTTGATGGAGGCAGCTCTCGAAAAAGTTTAATTGTTGTCAGGTTTTTGAGGATCCAAAAATTCATGATTCATTTCGCTTAACGTGTCGCGTAAATTGGAGGGTTCTTTAAATTCAGAAACCACTACTACACTCGACGACACTTCTTGTTTTGTTCAGTTAGTCGATTGCGCATTAAGTGGCAAACTTTGCCCTCTCCAAATAAACACAAAGAAAAAGTTTATCGCTTACTTTATGTACCCAAGACTTTTTCTACACTTAGCACAACCGAAATCCACTCTTGTTTGAGGTATCTGCCGTATCTCCCGTGTCAAAGGCGCTGGTGATGTTGCCAGCAGTGGCAAATCCTCTGAGCTCCTCTCAATACAAAATTGCCTTTGTCTCCACAAACTTTAGTACTGACTGAGGACTGCACAAGTATATTTTTATATCCCCGAATCTTTAATCTACTATGAGCCCCCTTTAAGCTTCGCAATTCGATGCCCTTTTCGGGCAGGTTCACTTTTACATTGATATTCTGAACCCAACAAAGTTTGATCTATACTTTTTAAACGGAATTAGAATAGGAAACATGGACGGAGGACAAGTTGCCATCCTTCTTAATCTTTATAAGAAGGATCTGAGAGAGGAAAGTTTTAATGACTGAAATCTCACGAAAATTGTTCTCTTCCTGAGACAAGCTTTGAATTTTTAGATGCACTTTCTTTGTCAACTTTGTTGATGGAACCTTTATATATAAGCACATTGAGTTGGATATGTCGCAATATTTATAATTTCAGTGGTGTAGATCGAGTGTCAGTATTAATTTGTTGACCGATCCCAATCACTTTTGGCTGTTGATGAATTAACATTAGCTTGACGTATTTTTGCTTGTGTTGTCTTTCCACTCTTACATGCATGCATGCTTACGTTAATATTTGATTGAAGGATTTAATATTGATAAGAGCATGGAATGTAAAAGACAGCTTGTTTCTGGTTACGTAAGGAAAGTATTATTTTTATAGAATTTTGTGAATGTGAAAGGTAACAGACAGTTGGACATTAGAAACGTAAGGAATTTTTCAAATAGTTTACTGAAAAGTATAAACTAGAATCTTAGGAGGGGATGTCAGTCACCGATCACTTCTTATCAAGAGAAGCGACATTTATTGCACCTGCTTTCAAGCAAATAATTGAAACTCGAGTCTTTGTGCGCAAGCTACTTTGAAACAAATGTTGAAAATTGTATAAATATCATTTATCGTTTAGATGCTCCACAGCCACTCAAAATGGGATAAGATTTAAACCCTGTGAGGTAACCGGTGAAATCGCGAACGAATTTTATTCTTGCCACAAAGAGTGAGAAAGAGGGAGACGACGGAAGACGTCGGAATGTGGGAGGTGAAAGGAAGGATAAAAGTGAACAAAATCATGACACAAATAACGCTCTAGAGTTAAACGAGTATAAAACCGGGCGTCAAGTTGTCCAGCCTTTAATGCTGTGAGATGAATGAAACGGGAAGTAATTCATGGGATACGTATATATTTAAAGTGTAAGCCGCACATTCAAATGATGACCTAGAACAAGATCCGTTTCCGCATGCCCCAAACGCTAACAAATTTTATATTTCTCGGTTTTTTATGGCAGAAGAATGCATCCTACTTTCATGCTCAGCACTTTGTTCATGTCCTCATATATTGGATTTAGCATTCATTTAAATAAGAAATTCTCAGCGGTTATGGTCATACATTTTCAAATAATTTCACTCCCACCAAAATCCCGTAGAGGATAAAACTAAACTATATAATATTTTTTTTGGCATATCACACGAGCATTGATACACGCATATGTATAACTCGTACAGTTTTACCCTACAATAATTCTCTCACCGTGTGATGATAGTAAAGTGCCGTCTGAGCTGTGCATTGCATGTGCTTTTCCGTAAGCTCATCGCAGTGATGTGATGTAGCAACCTGGGTGAGAGGATAGATATCATTCGTTCGGAAAATGTGAGCAGAAAAGCAAATTCTGGAAAAGAGGAAACCAGTTTAAGAATGCCAGTCAGCTAGTGGTCTTCAGATCGTCCACTTTTCCAAGCTCCTTCAAAAAAAAGTGTGCGTAAAGGCTTTCGAGAAAGTACTTTCGTCCCCCTGCGTTGTCTTCGATAGAGTAAAACGCAGTTTTATATATAGTTGAAACTTTCTTCCGTTGTGGATCATTTTCAAGCCCAAGTACGTCTGCTTGATTGAAATGAGTTGATGCGGATGGCAATTGATTCCGGATCAAAACATGACACACTTGGCAAGAAAGACGACTACTTTCAAGTCTTGGTAACTATATGGTTAATTCAGAAACCATTGCATACTTATATATACATAAATATGTATAAGTTATCCATAACTTAATTCCTGACATGGCGTGGGTGTTGAAGCATCAAAGTCAGTGACAGCAACCGTAAAGTTGGATAGAAGCACTCATGCACATCCATCCCCTATCACTTTGCCAAGCTGAGGCTCCTTCATTGGGCTCCAAAGTAATTTCCAACTTCTAACTGATTACCCCGAGGCCAAAGTCATTGACGAAGATGAATATATTAAAAGAAGTTTATGAGATGAGAGGAAGCAATAAGATGGACCGGAGTTGGGGAGGAATTTTGAATTAAGTGGAGACACAAAGCTATTGGGAGCGTCGGCAGGAGGGCAGAGAAAGTCACGAGCTGAGGGTAAGTAAGCAATGTTGCCGGAAGTCAAGGTCTAGTAAGATGTTAAAAGGGAAAATAATCAAAGAAAGCTGCAGCCAACGTAATGGAATTGGAAAGAGCCAGCAACCTCACAGTGAAATAGTGTGTAGCAAGTTAAAAGTCCATATACATAGGTTTCGTTGGTCATTGAAAGATCTCACTTCCTTGCAGTACACTCTCCTTCCTTATGGACTGAATGTCAAGTACGTATGCACGAGGAAATTTCTAGAGACAAAATTGAATACTGTACAAAAACCACTCAACTCCCGACTGAGAGACAAAAGAGAATTTTTAATATGGCAATTTTCCGATAATAAAATTATCTAAATGAAGAATACATTCGGGTCCGCAAAGTTCCTTCAACGTATAAATCAATTCTGCCCACCAATTTTAAATTCTCTATTAATGATTTAATGTGCTTGAATATTCGTTTTACGCTGCATTTTGATCTCCGCAGTACTTCAATTAAGTAAGGATTTTTATAACTGCCAACTGGTTGGAAACTAATGCCACCATTATAATCTGGATTAAATTTTTATGGTCATTTGCCATCTACTTTTCTAACAATAAGTCTTTTTTATTATTATGCGACACCACTCTTAATAAATTCAGTTATCTGTACCAAATACCACCTTTGGAAATACTTTGTCATTCAGTGCGTTGCGGGTTAACTACGTACAAAAGTATGTGAGCTCTGGTCTGTCGTACGTAATCTACAAATTCGAATACAAAAGACTCGGTCTCTCATGCACGTCCCAAACGAGGGCGGAAGGATTATATTCCACTTGAAGCTTCATCTCGGTCGCCATAAAGCTGGGATCGTTTGAACGCCGATAGCATTCTCGCGAGCTTTCCACAGAGAATCATTATGACGGGGAAAAATGGGAATATTACGTGCATTCACATTTAATTTTTGAGATTTTTGTTTAGACCATGTGCCGTCATTTGAATGGCTCGCATGCAAGCCATGTATGCAAGCCATCCAGGCACGAAGAACCATAACAAAGTCAAGTCAAAGGGTTGCATCAAATGTCGTTCATCTGTCTGGCTC